TATGCAATCTGGGAGTCTTTTAGATAGACCCACTGAAGGGGTACTCCAATGGTCTCACCCTGCGTCCCTGTTCAGCATGGAAGAAGCCAGAGCGGTCTGCATCCTAATTCCCTATCCCATCCCCTTCAGAGGATGACGTGATAAGAATAGGAGGTAGGAATTGGCTAGGCAGTTAGGGTAAAAAGACCCCAAAGAAATGTAGCCAGTTTCTTGGCTAAAAGTCCTTGGACCTGTTAACCCCTTCAGAGGAGGTAATATTGGAGGGGAGGGAGTGGGCATGGATTTGATCAAAAGACCTTATATACATGTATGAAATTCTCAATAAAGTTTTTGTAAAAGTTAAAATTTTTTTTTAAAAAAAATTAGAAGTTGGTGCTTAATCAAAAAATGGTGTCAAATTATGTAGTCGATGTTTGCTGGGGGAAGGAGAGTAAGTTTTCTTCAGGGGTGTGGCCCTGGTAGATAGACCATGCTCCAGGGGGTGGCCCCATACCCATGAGTAAATGGGTAGCACAAATTGAACTCTGTGGGTTATAAAAAAGAAGACAGGAAGTCAGGAAGGGGTGGCAGGATCTGGGTGGAGTTACAAAAAGAGGGGCTGAGGGTGAGTATAATCAAAATACATTATATTCAGGAATGAAATTCTCAAAGAATTAAAGTAATAGGCAAGGGCAGTAACAAAAGAGACAATTTTTCCTTCACATTAAATATATAGATACTACCTACATATACATATACATCTCAGATTGTGTGTAAGAAAGAGTTAAAGCAGGTCAAACTGTCTATCCTTAAAAATGACTTTATAAGACTGGTCTTTGTCTAGGCCCTGGGAAGCTGAACTTTAGAAAGATTCCCTCCAGAAGACTGGGCTCCCTGGGCCTAAGCTGTGCAAACAGTGTGGCTTGGGAAGAGGGTCTGCATTCTTCTGGAAGTCTAAAATCTCGGTAGTGCTGAAAAGGAAGTCCATGTGCAGACAGAAACCCTGGTACAGAGGGTCTAAATGAGTCTAACAGCCACATTCTGGGCATGTTGCCACAACTTACACTGAAGGCATTTCTAGGCATCCCACTAGAAGACCCTTGGATGTTTGTGCCACTTTACCCAGACTCTGCCTCTTGCAGCTTTTGCCTTTGTTGACTGCTTTGTGGTTGTCCCTGGATAAGTCACAGTGTGACTACTGGCTGAGTCTGTGAGTCCTCTTAGCAGTCCCTGAATGTGCAAGTCATGGAGACCTCCAACGGGGCAAGTACATAGGAAAGTAAAAGCTCCATTTTCATACTTTCTTTGAAATACGCAATTTGTGTTTATACAAATCAGTTTAGTTACAAATTTCATGATTATAATCCAAAGTAAACCAATTCTGCCTTTTGATACTTTGTGTGTGTGTGTGTGTGTGTGTGTAGCCCAAGCTGGCCTGGAAGTTGCTGTGTAGACCAAGCTGGTCTTGATCTCACAGAGATCTGCCTGTCCCTGCCTCCAAAGGCTGAGATTAAAAGTATGCACCACCACACTTTTATATAATTTTTAAACCTTTACTTCACAGTATTTAAAAATTATTTAAAACTATTTCTTCTATTATTTATTATTTTTATTTTAGTGTATGAGTGTATTGCCTGCATGTATGTAAGTGCACCCGTGTCATGTAATGCCCACAGAGGTCAGAAGAGGGTGTCAGATCCCCTGGAACTGGAGTTAGGATGGTTGTTAGCCTCCATGTAGATGGTGGGAATCAAACCTGGGTCCTCTGCAAGAACAGCCAGTGCTCTTAATCACTGAGCCATCTCTCCAGCCCCTTAAAACTATGCAAGTAATAATCTGAGAGGTGAGAGGCATGAGTGAGTGGTGGACTACGTACCTAGATTGTGAGAGGCCTGGGTCATATCCTCAAAAGGTAATTAGTTCAATTACACACACTGCTCTATTCATAAAGATTAAAACATTCTTAAATTATTTAAACAGAAGATAAAAATGATTATATTTATAATCACTGTTTAATCACAGAATTAAAAAGCTCAACTCTTTTCTTAACAAGTGGCACTTGGTGAACCTCTCCCTCTCCTCCTCCATTTCAGTGATCTTTACAAAGGCACAAGTTCTTACCTTGATAAGCTCCTGCTTCATTAACCCCCTCTTTGGTACTGTCAAAGCCATGAGATGTAATTTGAGTTTCTGAGAGCCCAAGTCCAGATGGTAATGAATGCTTCAAATCCTTAGTAACATGTGAATAAAAGAAAAAAAATAACTTTGTGATAGATCCCATATTGCATAATAGTTTGGAATTGTGCCTTTAATCACATTTTATACTAGTTTTTTCTGTTTTCAACAGTATTCCCTTAAATTGTCATGATGTCCCAGGAAGATCAAATACAGCAAGATTTGTATTAGATGGTACAGTGTGTGTGAAATAGAACATACTGTTATACTGAGCATAGTTTGTGGTATACAGCAATATCACCAGTTATACATATATTTTACTAATATATCACACCTCTTTTAATGTAATGGTAAAGTACAGAGGGGGCCTACAGTAGCGGTCCAGGATACTTCTCCCAGGGGGCAGTTACACTTTTTTAGTTAGGATGAAAATATACATGCCTCAATGGGTTATTGAAGTCAAGATATAACCAAACATGAGTGTATGTAATAATTTGATGTAGTTACAAATTGAAAGGAAGGACTGAACACTGAAGAACTGCCTTAAACAAAGAGATGGAGCCTGAGTTGTACAAATTACCCAGGTTGAGGACATGGAAGGTTTGAGAGCTGGGAATGAGGGGGAGGCAGAATGCACTTTCAGTCTAATAAGACTCTTGTGATGGAAGGCAGAAAACCCTAGGCAGTCATGATCAAGTTACTGGCAAAGCAGGGCATTCAGCAAGGAAGCATCCAGGGTCAGTGCAGCTAAAATCCATGTCGACAGGCAGGGAACAGGAATCACAAGAGGGCCAGACAGAACACTAAGGGAGGAAACTTAGCCCCGACTGAATTAAAAAGCTGTAAACTTTGAATAGCAAATGTGCTTGATTTGATGAATGGCCTACTTTAAGTTATTAATTTAGGAGACATGTAACTATAGCTTAAAAGAGCTAGAAACAGAAGCCAAGATCAATGCTAAGGTAGACACCATTAAATCTCAAGGATAATTAATTAAAATACAAACTTGTAATGAAAATCTGGAGTTAGCTATGTGCTCAGTACAATAATAAAGTAGAATATCATTATATATATAT